GAAAAAAGTAGAAAAGTAGAATTTTCCTTTCCTTTGTTGTTTATAAACATATTTCGACATAAGATTTAAAATAATAATCATACAATGTTGTCCTTCTGATACAGCAGCTAAAATGTTAGAATCATCCATCCATTTTCTTCCCCTTAATTTTTATGAAATAAAATTTTACTCCTTGACAGTGGCTCAGTTGGTAGAGCATTGTCCTTTGAGCCTGAAGGTCGTGGGTTCGAGCCCACCTCAAGACCTACTTCACAACTCCCACTGATGACTGCTGTCGTTGTGTCCTTGGGCAAGACACTTAACCCAACTTTGCCTGAAGCCCCCACTGAAAGATCTCAGCTCCTGTGGACTCACCACCTGCAGGAGGATCAGTGAGGGGCTGGTGCTCTGTGGACTGGGTGCAGCTCGGACTGCCACCCCCCGACCCAGAAATGGATTAAGGGGAAGAAAATGGATGGATGGATGGACAATACAAAAAGTTCATGAGTGTAGCTTAGATTAATGAGATAGATTAATGAGATTACAACCAACAGAGATTCAAAAGCATTTAAAAGCATTTTGATGTATTTGTGTATAGCACAAAAACACAATAGTAGACATTTAGATATTGAGTTAGGGTGAGTTGAGTTTAAAAAGCTGTCGATTCGCCAGCACAGATTAGAGAATCAAACACCATTGTAGAATAACTGACCCCAACCCCAAACCTGCTAAGAATAATAATAATTTGATTAATGATGTCCATTCATCCCAAACTGCCTGAGAGGAGGAAGTGACATCACTTCCTGGTTCAACAAATGTATTTGGAAAACTGACCGCCATAATAATGTTCATATTAACCATCTGTCTTACTGTGTTCACAGTTTTATTCCTGAGAATGTAGAATAGACATAGAGCAAAATCCCACTAACAATATGCCACTGATAATGAGAGTAAAGTACAGTACAGAGAGATGTATTAGATTAAAATGTATGTTTAAGAATATGGCTCAATAAAAGCAAATATGCAAACATATTTGTAAATAGATTAGAATAGTTTTTGAAACTACAGTGAAAGTAAAGTACACAGTCTAAGATTAAATAGTGAAAACAATTAAGTGAAGTGTAGCGTAAACGATTAGCATTAGAATATAAGTATACAGTAAGAAAAGTGAAATTAGCTTCTAATTTGAGACTCAGTTTGTTTTTGTCTGTGTTTTGACTGATGCTGCTGAGTTCTACTGTGTCCAATAGTGTTTGTTTTTATTTTTGTTTTTTGTTTTATTTATTAACTTTTTTTTGTTTTTTTTCCCCAGGACAGAGGATAAAATCCACTGATATTGATTTTGATGTTTTTGTACGTTTTTTTTTCTCCACTTTGTTGATTGATCAAATTGAGTGATCACATGTGATCAAAGGGGAGAGTGTTAGGATTAGATAGCGATTTGGCCTACGTGCAGGACTGTACAAGGACTCTAATGGACTCCATGTTTTGACTATGATATACTCGTGACCGTCTCTGTGTGACACGTATGTCTTTCGATGTGTGACGTGACAATGACTATATAAACTGTGTACTGCCTTTATTCTGTCTGAGAGAAAGAAACAATTGAAACCACTGGAACTTGAGAGACTTAAATAAACTTCCAGAGTTTGGCGCACCACGATCTGTCTCTGTCTGGTTCATTCCTGACACTACGCTGTGGGAGAACAGCACCACCCAAAGGGACCTCTCCCGGTGGACAGGTTTTTGGACGTCAGCTGGAGACATTTACGACAGTGAGAAACAGACAGTCACTGGAAAAACTGGCTCTCCATCATGGACAATCCTACATACTCCATCAAACTATAGAGGGGCAAAGGAGCTCCTTCTCAAACAGACTCCAACAGCTCCACTGCCACAGTGATCGGTACAAGAGCACGTTCATGCCACACTCCATCCTGCTTTTCAACAAGTCACCACTCTGTGACAGATAACACATCCATCTAAACAGACTTCAACTTTATCTGCTTTGTCCTTGTATATATTGTATATTAACTAGGGCTGTCAAAATTATCGCGTTAACTCACGTTAATTACATTTTTCATTAACGCGTTAAAACATTTTTTACGCATTAACGCAAGTCCGGATGACCCGCCCATTTATCCTTAATATCACTCAGAATGCTGCATGTGAGATGCATCAGAAGGCAAGGCAAGGCAAGTTTATTTGTATAGCACAATTCATACACAAGGCAACTCAAAGTGCTGAACAAGATAGCATTAAAATCATAAATAATCACAGAACATTAAAACGAAAGATAAAAATATAAAATCCCTCAGTTGTATGCACAGCTAAACAGCACCGTTTTTAACTTGGTTTTAAACATTGTCAGAGAGGAGGCCTGTCTCACATCTTCAGGAAGATTGTTCCAGATTTTAGCAGCATGAATCTGAAAAGCAGCCTCCCCATGTTTAGTTCTGACTCTGGGCACTAACAGGAGTCCAGTCCCTGTGCTCCTCAGAGTCCGGGCTGGTTCATATGGGACTAACATGTCACTAATATATTTTGGTGCGAGGCCATGGAGAGACTTGTAACAAGCAGAGCTGTTTTAAAGTCTATTCTCTGAGCCACAGGAAGCCAGTGCAGAGACCTGAGAACTGGACTAATGTGGTCGTACTTCCTGGTTCTAGTCAGGACTCGAGCTGCTGCATTTTGAATGTACTGCAGCTGTTTTACAGCCTGTTTGGACAGGAGATGGGACAATAGTTGTTAAGTACCGTAGCATCCAGACTGCTCTTTTTTAGCAGGGGCCTGATGACTGCAGTTTTCAGGGCCTTTGGGAATATTCCAGAATTAAGGGACATGTTTACTATCTGTGTGAGTGAAGGTAACAGACTGCTCAGAACAGACTTCAGAAATCTAGTGGGTAGTACATCCAGGCTGCATGTGGAGGAGCTCAAACTGGAGATTATCTCTTGGACAGTTTGATCATTTACAGGTGCAAAGTAAGTTAGCTCAAAGAGCCTTTCTGGCTGTTGGATTGTTATCTGTGGATTGGAGACAATGGCGTTTTTGATGCCTTGAACCTTGTCATTGAAAAAATGTGCAAACTCATTACATTTACGTTTGGAAGTTAGCTCTAATGGCATTTGAACAGGGGGGTTTGTTAATCTATTAACTGTTGAAAACAGAACACGCAGATTGTTGCTGCAGCCTTCAAAAATACCTTTCTCTCGTACTACGTAGCACCTGGTTAAACTCGCACAACTTATCCTTGAAGATCTTGTAATCAACCTGGAGGTTGGACTTGCGCCACTTCCGCTCGACCCTCCGGCACTTTCTCTTTTGTGCCCTGACCGAGTCTGCTTTAGCCCACGGCGCCTTCTGCTTATTTTTCACTATTTTAACCTTCACAGGAGCGATGGTGTCCAGAACTTTCAAAACACCAGAGGTGACAGAGTTAAACAGTTCATCTACAGTAGAATACGATGCATTCTCAAAGTTTATCATTCCCATAAATAGTTCACCCGTATTTTCATTTATGTGTCTTCTTCGTACAGTTGCAGAGTCCACTGGTGGTTTGTTAGTGAAACACATGTCAAAAAATATACAAAAATGATCCGAAAGCGCAACATCGACCACGTTTACATTAGAAATGTTCACCCCCTTAGTAACTAACAGATCTAGAGTGTGCCCTCTGCTGTGGGTGGGGCCACTCACATGCTGAGTGAGACCAAAAGATTCAAGAACAGAACTCAGCTCTTTAGCATTTCTGTCATCAACATTATCCACATGAATATTAAAATCACCTGTAATAACTAAACTATCAAAATCTGTGCATACAACTGAAAGCAACTCTGTAAAATTATCAATAAAACTGTGACATGACTGCGGTGGCTTGTATAGGACAATGAAGAGTATTGGAGGAGATTGTTTTTGTTGTATTTTAAAAGACACATATTCAAAAGACGGAAACTTCCCAAGAGACATTCTATGGGAGACAAAGTGGTCTCTAAAAATGGCAGCTAAGCCTCCTCCTTTTTTGTTTTCCCGTATTTCAGATTCAAACTTGAAATTTGGTGGTGATGCTTCTATTAAAACTGCATTTTCTGTATTTTGGTCAAGCCATGTTTCAGCCATGAACATAAGATCTAGATTATAAGAACAAATAAAATTATTGATTAAAAAAGACTTGTTACAAAGAGATCTGACATTTAGCATAGCAAGAGCAGGTAGGCCCTCTGGGAACTCATGTTTTAAAAGAATACGCGCGTCACCGCGGGGCTGATCTTTGCTGTGAACTGAGGTCCGCCTCCTCCGCGGCCGCTCTGGTTGTGAGCCGCTCACAACAACACGGCTGTGAGCCGCTCACAACAACACGGCTGTGAGCGGCTGTGAGCGAATGGCGCCGCGGTAACATGGTCCTATAAGACCATACACGCCACAGAACTATTGTCTGCATGTTGTGATCGTGTCTTTGCAACCTGTGCACGCAAATACACTGCGGAAGTGTCCCTGTCTTTTCCTGAAACTAAACTAAACTCGCTGAATTAAAGCTGGGGTATGTAAATTTCCCCATTTCATTAACAGCTCATGTTGGTTTTGCCCAAAAGCAAAGGGTTGTGAGCAAATCTAACAGATTTAAGTACATTTGGTATGAATGACAATGTGGTATGAATGACATTTGATAATCTCATTTAACTTCAATTGGAGTGGATTTGAAATAGAATGTTAAAAATGCGATTAATCGTGAGTTAACTCACCATTTCTGTGCGATTAATCAACTAAAAAATTGTAATCGTTTGACAGCCCTAATATTAACAGATGTGTACACCTATTATCTCTGTATTTTATACAGTAAATGTGTATATATTCACAAATATGTATATTACTGAGTTTTCCACTGTCCATTTTGGTTCCATCACTAGTGTCAGGATTAGCTCTCAGTGGGTCAGGTCTGTGAGTCAGGGTCAGCTCTTAATGAATTATGGTCAGGTGAGGTGAGTGAGGGTCAGGTCAGTTAGGGTCAGGGTCACACGCACCACTTGATGAGGCCATCCAGCTTGTTGTCACGGTCACGCAGGAAGGACACACACTTGTGGAGCACACAGCTGATGTAGTGCATCTTCATGGACAGAACCTCGTTCATGTCCTGCTGCTTCATGCACTTCTCACAGATCAGCTCCATCACCCGCCGGCACTTCTCCAGAGCATCAGCCTCAGTCAGCAGGGGGTTGTCCTTCACCAGCAGCACCATCTCCAAGAGAAGGACACATAAACAGTCATAGGGAGTAGTCCTTCCGCTGAGATGGTGCTGCTAGTTGTATTTGACACTTGACAGTTTTGAAAACTCATTCACTGCTTTAATACTAAGGGCAAGGCCACATACGTTTTTACAAATGAACTAGGCCAAGTGGCCCGGATAGTCGCCGCAGGGGTGTGAAGACGGCCCGCGGTCATAAGGGTTTATTTTCTCAACCGTGCCAGACCAATCGTGCTGTAGTACAACGCTCTGTCCAGCTGGTGGCGCTAATATTAACTTCAGCAAAGACCTCATTGTCTGAGTTAAGTTTCCGTTTCTCTTGCTGTTTACACTCTACAGGAATGCCAACAGCGCAAGCATGGATTGCGTTCTTTATAATCAGAGTCACTGGCCTTCATTTATGAAACTTGCGTAGAACAGGGTGTACATTTTGGGTGTATATTTCAAATACACAAGATCCAACGTGGGATTTATTAACCTGCGGCTGTTGATAAATGCCGCCGATGAATACAAATGTATTTTTGAAAGTCACGCCTAGAAATATGCAGCAACCGCCTGTTTCACGCCCCGTTTTTACAATATGCTGAATGGAAGTTGGCCAATGAATCAACAAGTGGGACACAATCGTGAAGTTTGGGAATTTATTGGATAATTTAAACTTTTTTAACAAATAAAAACTGAAAAGTGGGGCGTGCAATATTATTCGGCCCCTTTACTTTCAGTGCCGCAAACTCAGTCCAGAAGTTCAGTGAGGATCTTTGAATGATCCAATGTTGTCCTAAATGACTGATGATGATAAATAGAATGCACCTGTGTGTAATCAAGTCTCCGTATAAATGCACCTGCTCTTTGATAGTCTCAGGGTTCTGTTTAAAGCGCAGAGAGAACCATGAAGACAAAGGAACAAACCAGGCAGGTCCGAGATACTGTTGTGGAGAAGTTTAAAGCCGGATTTGGATACAAAAAGATTTCCCAAGCTTTAAACATCTCAAGGAGCACTGTGCAAGCAATTATATTGAAATGGAAGGAGTATCAGACCACTGCAAATCTACCAAGACCCGGCCGTCCCTCCAAACTTTCATCTCAAACAAGGAGAAGACTGATCAGAGATGCAGCCAAGAGGCCCATGATCACTCTGGATGAACTGCAGATAACTACAGCTGAGGTGGGAGAGTCTGTCCATAGGACAACAATCAGTCGTGCACTGCACAAATCTGGCCTTTATGGAAGAGTGGCAAGAAGAAAGCCATTTCTCAAAGATATCCATAAAAAGTCTCCTTTAAAGTTTGCCACAAGCCACCTGGGAGACACACCAAACATGTGGCAGGACTTTTTGTTTTTTTTTTGGCCCTGAGAAACGAGCAGGTGCATTTATACGGAGACTTGATTACACACAGGTGCATTCTATTTATCATCATCAGTCATTTAGGACAACATTGGATCATTCAAAGATCCTCACTGAACTTCTGGAGTGAGTTTGCTGCACTGAAAGTATAGGGGCCGATATTGCACGCCCCACTTTTCAGTTTTTATTTGTTAAAAAAGTTTAAATTATCCAATAAATTCCCAAACTTCACGATTGTGTCCCACTTGTTGTTGATTCATGAAAATTTTTTTTTTTTTATATCTTTATGTTTGAAGCCTGAAATGTGGCAAAATGTTGAATACTTTCACAAGGCACCCTAACCCCTTAGGGCTACCCTTGACGTAGACCTAGGGCGTGTAGCACCAGGATGTAGAATTCCAAGCGCCTGTTCCGCAGGCTCGACACAAACAGCTGCTGGAATGCGTCAGAAGCGGAGACTGGATGTCTTCCATCGATCTGACGGATGCTTATGTCCACAGGCTGTTTCGACGCTTCGCAGTGGGGGGAAGGTGCTACGGGTATTGCAGTCTCCCGTTCGGGGACGCACTGGCTCCCCGCACCTTCTCCAAGTGCGTCGAGACTGCTCTGGAGCCGCTCAGACACGGAGGGGTCAGGGGTTTAACCTACTTAGACGATTGGTTAATTCTGGCTCCATCCAAGGAGGTGGCCACGAGTCACACGCGCTGGGTCCTGTCCCACATACAGCGCATGGGCTTTGTGGTGAACAGGGAGAAGAGCAGGCTGCAGCCTGCTCAGCGTATAATGTATCTCGGTCTGCAGCTGAACTCGGTGGGATTCCGAGCTGCACTGTCTGAGGACAGGCGAGGGAACTTCACCCGCCTGGCCAGGGAGGCGTTGACTACCCCCGGAGTCCCCACGCTGAGCCTCAGGTCGCTCCTGGGGAGGATGGCGGCGGCCCACACGGTGGTTCGGCTGGGCCTCCTTCACATGAGAGGGTTTTAGAGGTGGCTCTCCCGCCTCAGGCTTCAGCCCTCACGGGACGGGGGGAGGCTGCCCCTGGTCGGTGCCGTGGCTCACGTGGAGGTGGTCACGGACGCCTCTCTAGAGGGATGGGGAGGGGTTCTGGGCCAGAGCTCAGTGGGCGGCTCCTGGCCAGACCCGACTTACCACATCAATCTGCTGCACTTTGCCCCACAGCAGAAAGGGAGGCATGTGATGGTGCACTGACAACACCACAGTGGTGGCGTATCTGAACAGACAGGGAGGTACGAGGTCCCCCGCCCTCCATCGTCTGGCACCAGTCATTCTGCTCTGGGCTGCAATGCTTCTGCAGCTTTTGAGAGCGCGCCATGTTCCGGGAGATCGGAACACAGGGGCGGACATGATGTCCAGAGGGGACCCGCTCGGGGGACGAGTGGGGCCGGGCCCCGCAAGTGGCTGCAGAGATCTGGCTAAGATTGGGTCTAGGGATGTAAATCGGTGACCGGTTAACCGGTGGTTGACCGTCACAGCGTTAACCGGTCAAAGCTGTCGGTTAAAAATAAGAAAAAGCGGAGAGGGGAGGTCTCTTAATAAGGCTATTAATAAGCCCTATTTGTACGATGTGACGAGCGGGTCTGTATCTAGCTGTGTGCGCCAATGTATTAGTAGACTATGGGCGACTTTCATGGCGCACGCTCCACATATGCACGCAGCCACGCACGCGCGCGCGCACACACACACACTCACACATACACGCACAAACACTTTCCCCCTCTCCATACGTAACATCCACACGCATCATCTCTCCCCTCTGTTACCGCCAAAGTTCCACACTAGTGCAGGTCAGAACTACATTGGAGCTTATATTTACACACACACACATACATGTATTGTACACACACACACATACACACATACATACACACATGTATTGTACACACACACATACCGGGCTGTCGCGCTCCTCTGTGTCTCGCAGCCCAAAGAATCCTCGCAAATACGCGGCTTCAGTCAAACACATGAAACATGTTTGTGCTGCTGGTCCTTGTCATTAGATCAGATCCACACACATCACTTTTAAACTTTAGCGGAGACCTGCGAGACGCGGCTCGTCACTCGCTGCCCTGACCATGTGGACGAGCTGTCTTTTGCTTAAAAATGCTTTACCCGCAGCACAGAAGAATGGGAAGATTAAAAAAGCAGTTCTCTGTGCACAAAGGTGCCGAAGCTGTTGCGGGTTTTGGCGCTGCTGTCTCAGCTCTGATCTAGTAGAACGCATAGATAAACTTATGAAAAGTACGCGGCTCGAAATGGCTGCTATTTCAAAGAACGTGGAATATTTTTAACTACGCGGTTAACCGGTTTCAACCGGTTAATGAGGCTCGGTGGTCGGTCATGAAAATGCATAGTTTTTTACATCCCTAATTGGGTCATCCAGTGGCGAACCTATTCGCCAGTTCAGACAATGCTCAATACCATCTCTGGTTCGCGCTGCGGGCCGCAGAGGATCTGCCCCTGGGGGTGGCTCTTGGCCTTGGCTCTTCACCCATGGCCAGAGGGCCTCCTGTAAGTGTTTCCCCCGACTCACCTCCTACCGGTCCTGCTGAGGAAGGTTGAGCAGGAGGTAATTTGGTCGCTCCGGACAGCCCGCATGCCTTTCCGTTTCTGAGGGGCATGGCGGTGAAGGAGCCGTGGGCCCTCCCGGACGAGCCCGGGGCTCTGGTCCAGGGGGGGGGGGGGGGGGACGCTTCACTCACGTCCGGTGTTGGGCCACAGACTCTGGCTCTGGAGGCTGAGAGGCAGAATCTCGTATAGACCTGGGTCTCCATCGGTGGTGGAGACCATTAAGGAAGCGAGGGGCCCTTCCACCATCAGAGCCTATGCCTGCAGGTGGAGGGTTTCCAATGGCTGGTGCGCGGTGCGTTCTTGGGACCCCATGTCCTGCCCTCTGGAGGGGGTCCTGGGGTTCCTACAAGAGATGTTTGAGAAGGGTAGGGCTGCTGGCACCCTGGCGGTGTTTGCGGCAGACATTGCCTCGGGTCACGGGCGGTTGGGGGGGTTTTCCAACCCGCTCACACCCTCTGGTTTAACGTTTCCTTCGGGGGGCCCGCAGAAGGAGGCCCGTCCTCAGGAGGACGCCTCCGGCCTGAGACCTGAGGGGGCTTCTGAGGGGCCTAGCAAGATCTTCTATCGAACCGGTGGCTCAGGCCAGCCCGGAATGTGTGGCTTTCAAGACCGCCTTCTTGTGTGCTTTGGCTTCTACCAAGAGGGCGGGTGTTTATGCACCCTCTCCAGCCACCCGGCCTGTCTGTCGTTGAAACTGGAGGCGGGTTGGTCAAGCTTTGGTCCTATCCGGCCTTTCTCCCTAAGTCGTGACTTCGGCCGTAGGTGTGTGTTGGTGTGTGCTGGCGATAAAATAAAGTCTGATTCTTGAACGTCTGACGTGTTATTGCAATAGCACCACACTGTTACGGCGAGGGTCAGAACAGAAGGGAGTTCGCCCCGTAGGAAACGCTTCTCCTGGAGCGACAAATCTCTCCTGCGCCCCTCGACCACGGCCCGGGGGTTAACATGAAAGGTGTAACACAGGCAGGGAGATCAAAAAGATTGCAATTGCAGAGAGAGACGTGTGTGAAAATGCACATCACAGAGGGCGCAGCAGGAAGGCGTAATGTAACCATAGACTGTATATATTAACGGACAGAGACTCTCTGTTCGTTTTGGCCGTTCTAACTAATGGGCCAAAAATTGTACTCTACTGGAGCTATCCAAAATGGCCACGAGTGGTCCCACCCACGAGAAAATTGTGGAAAAACGCATTTGCGCATGCGTCAGCTGGCGCAAGCTCCATTCATTTGAACGAGAGACTTCAAAAATTAAGTGGTCCAAAAAAATTCACCCCCCTCAGCATTGACACACATGTGGAACGGAGCTTTGGGCCAAGAGCCAGTTTTTGGACCATCTTGTAAAGACGTTTTCCAGAGGTCTGCCAATGCTATATGTTAGCATTGGCTAATTCTTCTTCTGGGTCGACCCCCATCGGCCCGGGGTGGTATTGCAAGCATGTCAGCGCACGTCATTTTGGCCACTTTTGAGCTGGGACCCGCCCTCACTGAATGTGACGCACAAAATCAAGTTCACACCATATCTCATCCACCACTCCCCACCACCCACCTCATTTACCCCCTTCATCTGGGCTTTAGAAGCGTGCTCAGGCCCACCTCTCTCAACCGTGCCCAAGCGCGATTGGAGCATACTTTATCGCAATTATAAAAGCCGGAAACAGATTTTACATGGCACGGTTTACCGCAGGTACAGAAAACTCTTGCGCGAGGTGTACTGGTCGCTGCACACCGGTAAATTGAAGATGGCAGGACAAGCTCCCCCAGAGTTATATCCACCACCACTTAAAGTGATAGTCTGGAACTCTAAATTAATTACAAATTTTAAGAATTTTATTAAATTAACCTCTTGGCCTTAAATGTTGATATAAAATAAGTCATTTTATGAATTCTAATTTTACGGGTAAGTCCCGCCTTCCCTTCTCTTAGCCATAGCTCAAAATCCACGATGCCGTCCAGTTTAACCAATCAAGTGATGCCAAGGGCTGTCAATCATCGGCGCGCATGCTCAGTTGTTTATTTTCATGGAGCCTCCAAATCAAGCCTCGATTAGCCTCTGAAACTACATGAAAACTGAACAAAGAATTCTGAACATAGTATGCCGAGTTACCCATTTATATACTATCCAAAATCAGATCCTCTGCAGATGTGGCCTATAATGTTCAATCAATGCCAATAGCCATTTCCGGGTTTACCGCGATCGCTTTTTTGTGCATTAAAACATTGTTTTAGTCATGAAAACGTTAACAAATAATTCTGAAAACTTCTGTGCATGTGTATTAATAATATAATGTGTTCTCGGATTAACATTTAAATGTGTTGATTGATTCAGAAACGTAGGCGTAGACCAATCAGAAAGGAAAGGGTTTTTTTCAAATCATGTACCTCTCTCTTTTTTTTCTGACAAACTCCTTTAAGTAAGCAGTGTAGGATCACTTTAGGAATCCAAAAGATGAGCCAAGTGTTGTTGCCAATACTTCAAACATGATACAACATCTTTGAGGTAATCCTCCTTTGCTCCATGTCCAAATCAAGGTAAACAACTGCATAATTGTCAATACAGTTGTCCAAATGTTCAGAATTAAGCGCCAGAAATGTCCCAGGGTGCACATTAATACAAAGGATTCTGCAAGTGAATGTGAAAGTTACATCGGCAAAAAAAGTTGCACACAAATGCAGACATAACACCTATACTACAACTATGAAGATGAACCCTGCTACTAATACTACTACAAAATCAATTAGGCTACATACATTCCCAATTTATTTTTTTATATGAACACCATTTTGTATCTATATCCTTATCTATAATGTTCAGCTATTTGCATTTGTGTATATTTAAAATGTAATACATACAATAAAATAATAACTCAAAAAACAATGCAAGTTCATTTTCTTTCATAATTTCAATAATTGTGATTAATCGTAAAATCGCAATATTTTCTCTCACAATAATCGTAACAAAAATTGAAATCGTGGCAACCCTACTGCAGAGTCTGAGACAATGACACGCTTGTCACGAGACCGGCTTGTTTTGATACACGCTCCAACGCAATGTTTCGAAAGAGCGACACACGCTCCGGAGCGTCTGTGTTGTTTGTTTCTCTTTCTCAGAGGCTTTTTGGTATGTGTGCATGTGAGCATTCATATCTGTGTGTGTTTGTATGTGCATGTTTGTGATTGTCTGTCTACACGTGTGTTTACCTTGACTGGGTTCAAGTTGGTACTCATAATAACCTTGTGTAGTGGACCGGCCAGTTTAGTGGGCAGTTTGGGCTCCTTCTCCAGCCCCTGAGGTTTGGTGTAATAGTCCAGTCTGGCTCGAGAAAAGAAGTTGTTGATGACCGTCACACAGTCGTGCTGACCTGACCAGAAAGCACACAAATAACACAATCACTATCAATATAAAATACATTATTTTACCAAGATAATAATTGTACCAAAGGTTTTAGCATAATATTAAAAAGGCACCTGTAATTTTCTCTTGTGGGTCTCTCTCTAATGAAACCTGCCAGTCTACAATGTGAAAGTTTAGCATAAAAAATACAGACTACAAAAAAGACTAAAGCCCCGTCCCAATTCTCACCATTGCCCTTAAAAAGCCCCCTTGCCCTAGTTCTTGCGCTTGCCCGCGGTGTTTGAGAGTGTCCCAATACTTGGGGAGAAGGGCCCTCACACCCTTAAAAACCACGGGTAAGGGTGATCCCATGATACATTACGATTGTGTGCCGTGTATGTACGTGTGTGTCTGTCTCTCTGTGTGTGTGTGTGTGCACTTGTTTTCAACTCCTGGTGGGGTCCATAACCTGAGATTCCACTCACGTCATGGGGACTGGTTTTACGTGGTGGGGCCCGAACACCGGACCCCACTGGTCCAAGCTTAATAATCAATGGGTAATGCTTTTCTAACAGTCCTTATGCAGTCTCTGTAAAAATATGGAAAGGACCCCTGGAGGTTTACTTTCCTGAAAAAAGTGTATTATGTGTCGGAACCCTGGTGGTGGGTTGCGGGATATCAAGGAGGGGCACACTGGGGCAATTTCAGGCTGGAGCCAATCATGGAGCAGCACAACAGAGGCTGGAGCCAATCATGGAGCAGCACAACAGAGGAAATCAGGTGTCAGGCTAGAAAAGGTGCAAGTGTGTGGTTCATTAGGCTGCAAGAAATCATGGAGGAGCACATTGAAGCGCACGCTTACAAACCACTGGTAAGTGCTGACTACAAGTCATGACTTCAAATTGTTATATAGAATTATTACAAATTATTTGTTGTTTGTGCAGCTTAGTCAAGAGTCCCTAATTGATGAAGTCGACTCAGATTCTGACGATTTAACTGTCAAGAAGAAACCTGTAAAAAAGTATGGAAAAAGAAAAATCAAAAACACTTTTCTTCAAGACTCGGAAAGTGAGGAACCAAAGGCAAATAAGATTGTTATCATGCAGCTGCAAAAGAAGAAAAATGGGGGGAGAGTTTACAGCAAGAGACACTTCTGCCTCTACTGTTCAATGTCCTGCCACAAAATGTCCCGTCATTTGACTAGAAAACATGGAAATGAAAGTGACGTAGCCAGAGCATTGGCTCTACCTGTGAAATCTACAGCACGTAAACTTCACTTTGATTTGATCAGGAATAGTGGAAACCGTGAGCACAATTTTGAGGTTTTAAAGGCCGGCATTGGAACTTTAGTCCCAGCTAAACAGCCAAATTCCCCAGTTAAATCCAGTGAGTTTTTGCACTGTATAGACTGTGGGGCATTGCTTAAGCGAAAGTGGCTGTGGAGGCATGTGGCCAGGTGCCGGCTTTCACAGAAAGATGCCCAGGCTAAACCAGGCTAAACCAGGTAGAAGTAGGGTCCAGTCCCTCTGCTCCCTAGCCCAGCCTGTACCGGAGGGCATCAGCAAAAAGCTGTGGTCTTTAATTTCGGCAATGCATCAGGATGAGGTCACGGGTGTTGTCAAAGCAGAAAAGGGGATTCTGAGACTCGGAGAACACCTGTACTTAAAACACGGGCATGATAAGACTAAGCATGATTACATTAGGCAGAAAATGAGAGGTCGGTAGGTTAATTAACGAAGCAAAAACCGCAGGGAAACTGAAAACAATGAAGGATTTCTTTATTCCTTCCAACTTTAACCATGTGATTGATGCAGTCAGGTCTGTGGCTGGATATGATGAGGAAACAAATCAATGCAAGACTCCATCCTTGGCCCTCAAACTCGGCCATAGCCTCAGAAAGCTAGCAGATATTCTTGAATGTGACTCAAAAATGGAGCATTGTGTTGATGAACTATTTATTAAAAACCTCCAACGAAGCCGGCTGCTTTTTGAGAAGAGGTGGGACGTCTGTTTCTTCTGCTGCCCTACAGACCCTCCGGCAAGCCAAGTGGAACACTCCGGACCTGCTCCCTCTGACTGAGGACGTTAGAGCCATGCATGCACATATTGAGGTATGTCGACCTGAATATGTGCAAACCCTAATAAGTGAGCCAACGTCTAAGCATTGGTCTAAACTGGCAGTTTTGACTCTTTGTGAGGTCATTATTTTCAATCGAAGAAGGGAAGGTGAGGTTTCAAAGATGCCACTGACAGCGTTTACCTTAAGAAGTAAGACTGGGATCCATTCTGACATTGCTCTGGGACTGTCCGAACTTGAGAAAAAGCTGTGTCAGCATTTTCAACGCATTGAAATTAAAGGGAAAAGAAGTCGGAAAGTGCCGGTTCTTTTGACTCCTGAAATGATTGCTTCGATGGAGGTGCTGGTGGAGAACAGAAGGGCCTGTTCCATGTCTGACCATAACCCATACTTCTTCTCCCGCCCGGGCGCAGACACCCACATCAGGGGATCAGACTCCCTACGGCAGGTAGCCAAAGAATGTGGTGCGGTGCATCCAGAGATGCTATCCTCAACCAAACTTAGAAAGCACATAGCTACTATGTCTACAGTTCTCAATATGAAAGAGAATGAAATGGACATACTAGCCAGCCAACTTCCTCGGCCATGACATTCGCATCCACAGACAATATTACAGACTACCAGAGGGGACACTGGAGCTGGCCAAAATCAGCAAAGTGTTAATGACCATGGAGCAGGGAAGAGTGACGGAATTCAAAGGAAAGAGCCTCGACCAGATACAAATTGAGCCTGAAGGTAGTTCTTGATATTATTAAAATATGTATGATTTTTTTCCCCTAAAGGCCACTTGTATTTTTATTTTCTGTGCGACAGGGAGAGCAGTAGAGATCCTCTCACAAACGGACGGGCTAAAAGAAACTTCAAGCGGAGAACCTTCAACCATTCATCCAGATGCACCCCATGGTAGTGGCAGTGCCCCTTCTGGTAAGTGTACCAGGTGGGGGATTACAGCCAGGCTGCTTGGTCCTAACCCTGGGAGTGTATATTGCTAATATATTTTTATTTCTCTCCCTAGAACGTGTAAGAAAGCCATGGTCTGCATCTGAGGTGAAGGCTGTGGAGAAGACCATGACACCTTTCATACAGACTGGAAAGGTCCCTGGGAAGTCTCACTGCCTGGCCTGCATTAATGCCTCACCAGATGACCTTAGACATCGGACATGGAGTGGCATTAAATTCGATGTCAAAAATAGAATCACTGCAATTCGAAAAAAAAATCAAAAATAAAATTCCTTTAAAAGAGTTGTTTGTTTTCTATTGACTGTTTTGTATTACTTAAAGTAGTCCCAGTAAAAAAAGATTATGTCTATGGGTCCCATTCTGAACGGCCCTGTCAAAGGGACCCACCAGGTAACAAAAACGTGTATGTGTGTGTGTGTGTGTGTGCGTGTACGTGTGCACTTGTTTTCAACTCCTGGTGGGGTCCATAACCTGAGATTTCACTCACATCATGGGAACTGGTTTTACGTTGTGGGGCCCAAACACCGGACCCCACTGGTCCAAGCTTAAAAATCAAAGGGTCATTACCCAGAGACTGCATAAGGACCGTTGGAAAAGAAAGCTTTTCCAACGGTCCTTATGCAGTCTCTGCAAAAACATGGAAAGGACCCCTGGAGGTTTACTTTCTTGAAAAAAGTGTGTTATGTGTGTGAACCCTGGTGGTGGCATGCGGGAGATCATGGAGGGGAACACGGGCAAATTCAGTCCAAACTAGGTGCAGGCCTAGCCTGGCCGTAGCCATCCGTACACTCCGTTCAATCATCATTTCACTGCATGCAACGTCTGGGTCTAGTCCCTATGTTAGCGATTACAATTGGTTGAATTTCGACCGACCATTCAGACAGCGCGGAAGGCAGGTGTTGTAGTTAGTTGTGGGTGATGTCAAGAGTTTGCGTCGAACAGGCAGGTTGTAGTTTGGTAATGGCGAAAAATGCAATAGTAAAGTAATCCGGTCTGGTTCTATCACGAAATTGAAGCCGGAGCAAGGGTAATGTTCAGCAAATGTAATCGCTGGAAAAAATTGTGGCGCTACTCCCCACGGGCTCCGTTAGCGGCAAAGGAGATGGCTAGGCTAAATGCTAACAACAGACTCGGCACACTACATACGTCACGGTAAACTCAGATCCAATCGTTTCAATCTACAAAAGGAGTTAAACCCTCCCACCTGTAAACGGAGGTCAATGGAGCACCTCCAGACCTTAGTACGAAATTTCATTTGTACTATGGTGTGGTACGACCAGGCTAGGTGCAGGCCTGGCCCGGCAGGCTGGAACCAATCATGGAGCAGCCCACCTGAGGAAATCAGGTCATCAGGCTAGAAAAGGTGCAGATCAGGCTGCAAGAAATCATGGAGGAGAACACTGAAGGGCACGCTTACAAACACCCATAACTTTTAGCAGACTAAAAGTTCCATCCATCCATCCATTATCTTCCCCTTAATCCATTTCTGGGTCGGGGGGGTGGCAGTCAGAGCTGCACCCAGTTCACAGAGCATCAGCCCCTCACTGATCCTCCTGCAGGTGGTGAGTCCACAGGAGCCGAGATCTTTCAGTGGGGGCTTCGGGCAAAGTGGGGTTAAGTGTCTTGCCCAAGGACACAACGGCAGCAGTCATCAGTGGGAGTCGTGAAGTCTTATGGTGGGCTTGAACCCACGACCTTCAGGCTCAAAGGCCAATGCTCTACCAACTGAGCCACTGTCGCCCCGTTGGTAGAGCATCACTAAAAGTTATGATTACAAATTGTTACATAGAATTATTAAATTTATTTGTTGTTTGTGCAGCTGTCAAGAGTCCCTTAACAGAAGTCTGAAGATTTAACTGTCAAGAAGAAACCTGTGAAAAAGTATGGAAAAAGAGAAGTCAACAATACTTTTCTTCAAGACTCAGAAAATTACGAACCAAAGGCAAATAAGATTGTTATCATGCAGCTTCAAAAGAAGAAAAATGGGGGGA